GTATGTACGTATGTACGTGCGTATGTGTGTCTGTGTGTATGTGTGAGTGTATGTGTGTATGTGTGCATGTGTGTATGTGTGTAACTAATGTAGGCATGCATATGCATATGCATATATGTATATACATATATATGCAGCATGTTGGCTTGTATGTGTGTCTGTATGTATGTCTGTACGAAAGTATGTGTGTTTGCTTGTTTGTTCAGCCAGGTAGCCAGGTAGGTAGGTAAGCTGTGTGTAGGGTAGGCGCTGTCGGTAGGTAGGTAGGTAGGTAGGTAGGTCTAGCTAGGGTCGGTAGGCAGGCGAGTCTTGTACGTGAGATGTTTAACTCAGTATGTATGCATATGTAGGTGTCTGCATGTGTACATTAGTGTATGTGTATGTTTTTGTACGTACGTTGGTGCATCTGTCTATGCGTTAGCATACCTGTCTGTAGGTATGCACGTGTGATAACCTACCAGTATGTGCGACTGTATAACGTCTGTATGTATGCATGCAGGCATGCATGTATGTGTGGATGGGTCCGTATATAACATGTCCGAACTTGGCATCCGTTGCAGGATCCGGCAAAAAGAAGAAGGGCGACAGCAAGAAGGTGGGGGTTTCTCTGCCAAGCTTTGCTGCTTGGAAATGTGTCTTTTTGCCTTCAGCCGTCCGGCCCTTCCGGACCAAACCTGGCGAGAAGAAGTGACCTGGCCCAGGGGTTGTTTCCTGGTTTTGATGCTGTGAAGACAGCACTCCTCCGGTCCCAGATTTTTCTAAGGAGTGATGGATCACAAGATATCCGGTTCCGTCGAGTCTTGGAGCAACACTTACGGAGTCTTGTTTGCAGCTAGAACGGCAACCGCTTCCCTGCGCCAACGGTGGTCCAAGCGTCACCCATGTCAGGCTGGATTCGGCCCTTCCAACACGTGGGCCACCCGAAAGCAAACAAACACGGAGGCTGATTGCTGAAGCAAGTGTTCTGTCGACGTGACCGATAGTCCGATAGTTGCACAATAGCCCAAAACACATCGCCCCTTGCAGGCAAACTTTACATCCACGCAAAAGACCTCGTAGGTGGCGTGGGGCAGCTGGACAGCAGTTGTTCTTGCGGACCGTCTGCGCGATTCTTCACGATCACTAGCTGCGAGAGCAGCAGTAGCAGCTCTGGACGAGGTTTCTTCCCACTGGCGCTTCTGTAGAATTCTACGTCTTCGAAGATGATGCCGGTCTTGGTGCAGAGGAGTGCGCTCTAGCAGAGTGGAGGCTCGTCTGCAGTTTTGTAGTCGGGACCGCCATGATCCCTGTTCTCAAATTGACCGCCTCCAAGGAACGGCAAAGGTGGCAAGGGCTGGGGTTCCAAGGGCTGGGATGCCGGCAAGGGGTGGGGCAAGGGCATGTGGGACATGGGCAAAGGCTGGGCCAAAGGCATGTGGGGCGGATTTGATGGCTGGACCGGCGGAGGAAAGAAAGGCTGGGATGGTGGCAAAGGACCGCCAACCGAAGACTTGCTGTGACTTACCGCTTCGGAGGGCAGTCTATTGTTGTTGATCGCTTCAGCCTCGTCTGCAGGACTCGGTGGCAAAGGAAAGGACTCCAAGAGTTCCGGAAAGGGAGAGCCGCTCGTTTGTCCCCGATGTTCCGCTTTTGTACATGGTCCCACGGTCCGCAGTGCTGGCCGAGGTGGGGCGGCAAGGAACGCTCGAAAGGAGGCCGGTGCAAGAATTGCTTGGCAAGTGGGCTGGAGATGGATGGAGCGAGCGTGATCCCCTTTGAAGCACACCTGTCGTGAGCTGGTGCAGGCGATGGTGCCAAAGGTGCGGGTCCGAGCCCCAGGTGAAGGGGTCGTGGGTTCGGGCTTTCCGAATTAGATCTTGATCGAGGGTTGGGGCTTCGGGATTCACGCGTGTAGGGCCAGCTTTGGTATCAGCGTCCTAGGGACAGGGTTTCGGGTCTAGGGCTCCAGCTCGCTGACCAGAGATGGGTCGAGAGGGTTTAGGTCTACACTGAAGTTCGTCCCTCTTCCCAGGCACCGAGCTGGAAGCCCCGGGTCTCGAAATAACAAGCCATCTATAGCCACCTGCTAGCAGGTCTCCAGGCAGTGCCAGTAAACCAAGTCCGAGCGGATCTAGAACCTGTTTCAAGGTGCCAAAGATGGCAAAGGCAAAGCTTCCAAAGGTCGGGCACGCTCCGGAGCGTGTGGGATCTTCTTCCATCTTGCCTTTTCTGGATCTGTGGAGCCTAACATCGGGATATGAGCTGGGAGGTTCCACTCAGACGGTTGCCCCCAAGGAGCCGCAACCTGGTTTCTCGGCTTTGAGCTTCAGGAAGTCTGCACGACGGCCATGGCTGGGTTAGAGGGTCTCGATTCTTGCGTTGTCCGCTGTTGACAGCACCGAGGGCAGGTAGGTCCGTGACTTGCCAGTGACAGCCCCAGCATCGTGTGGGTGGCCCGCGGGTCGCGCTCGACTTCTTCGTGGTGTTGCGGCATCATGTTGGTGATTGTCTCTACAACTCATCCTCAACTTCGTTATGGCACTGCCGGGTGCACTCGCATGTCGTTGAATCTTGTTGTCCCACTGCTTATATTTGTTCGATGTTGCTCTGGGCGGGCGTTGTGCTTTATTTATTTGGACCTCGTCACTCGTCAGCTCCGCTCCGCCTTACTGCTGACAACTTTGTCATTGTCACGATAGTGGAGTTTCGGTTGCAAGCTGGAGACGTGAATTGATTGATTTCACCGAAAAGCGTTAAAAGTAACTTCGTATGTCACAACTAGCTCTCCACTCGCGGTTTCGACTACCGGGTACTCGGGGTGTTTCGGCTAGCTTCAAGCATTTTGCCGGCTGGACGCCGTCGCCTCGCATTGGTTTCATCAGTCTTGAAAGTCCTGTTGTTATTCGACAGGCATCTGGATTTTGCAATTTCTGACCGCGTCCTATTGTGCATTTTACTCTTCTTGTCGGATGTTGCCTTCCATTAATTTGCCGGAGACTGCCGCACGTGGCCTCTGTACGCATATCCGGCTTCAACGGATAGGAAGCCGCCTGCACCAAAGCTTTGAGCCAGCGAACCTTCATGAAAGAAGAGTAGCTTCTTTTCCTCGTCCTTGTCATTCCAAGTTGCAAGCAGCTGCCAACCTGTTGAGGTGTAAGCGACTTCGACCAGGACGGCTTCGCACGGGCTTTGATGCAAGTAGTGCTGTTCGGGCTGAGCCTGGCGTGCTCTTGGAGCCCTGCGAGGTTCATTCTGATTGGTCGCACTACACGGGCTTGGGGGGCTTGGCAGCCAGTGCTACTGGGCCCAGCGCAGGCCGCAGGGGAGTTGTTGGGGGTTACGGGCATGGTGTCTCTCCTGCATAGGCAGCGGCTTCGCGGCAGCCACTGGGTGCACTGGCCAGGTCAGAGCGAATGCGCAGACAGTTCACGGCAGTTTCGGTGCAGACGGCTGCCCAAGTATGCACGTTCGTACCGCGGCTCAACAGTTAAAGTTAGTTGACTGGGCCAGATTTCTAGCATTCGGCTTCCCAGCAGTGCAGGGGAGAGGAGTCAAAAAAAAATTTGAAAAGGATCAAAAAAGAATTTACAAAGGATCAAGAAAAAATTTAAAAA